TTTTTTTTTTTTTTTTTTTTTTTTTTTTTAAGGTGTACACAATAGGTGTCTGTACATATGGTTATACAAAAAATTTGTTTGTCATGTCGTACAATCACAAAATCCAAGTATAGTTGCTTTCCATTTCTGCCGATCTCATTATGTTTGTTGTACTGCTGTGTTCGACTAATCAGTTAATTAACAAGTTAATTAACTGATTAGATCATTCAATATTAAACTAACCAAATTAGATATGAGTTAAAGTTTGTATAACAGATAAATTTGAAAACGATCATCAAAAAATTTTTTAACTATAAATATCTTACCATCGTTAGAAATTTTTTATCCTTTCAATATCATTTATTTTTTTCTTCACTTTTCACTATATTATACGCATCTGAACATTTAAAAAATAATAAATGACAAGAATAGAGAGAAAAAAGGGACCCGTCTGGAAGCATTTTAATAGTATAAATAAAAATGATGCTACTCATCTTCCTGTACAATGTATATACTGTTTAAAAGATTTTCAACGAGCCGTTCCTGAACGAATGCAAGCGCATCTTGATAATAAATGTCCAAAAGCACCTACTAATGCAAAATCACAATCTAGTCAACAGAGTAATACTACATCAATAATTGACTACGCTGAAGAAGTTGTAAGAAAAAAGGGACCTGTTTGGAAAGATTTTTCTATAATTGGTAAACGTGAAGACTCACACCCTAATGTACAATGTAAATACTGTTTTAAAGAATTTAAACGAGCTGTTCCTCAACGAATGCAAATCCATATTGAAAAATGTGAACAAGCTCCGAATAACGTAAAATCAAAATTGAAACAATCTAGACAACAAAATACTATAAAAATTAATGAAATTAATGATTGTATGAGTGAAGAAGAGCAAAAATTTCTTGAATCTTTACTAGTCAAAGCAGCTGAAATTCACTTTTCTTTTGTTGATAATCCATCTGTTATTGAATTTTTTAATCACCTTCAGCCATCATTTAAGATACCAAATGGAGAAGAAATAAAAATACAATTGAATCAATCAAAACCTTTAAATGATATTACATATCATCCTGAATACTATCACCAACTTGAAATAGGAACTGAAGACAAAGGTGATATTAATTCAATGAATAATGTTGAATATTATGATTATGGAGTAGGGCATGAAATTGCAACATTTGAATTATATAAAGAAGCAGCTGATAAGGATGATATTAGTTCAATGTATAATTTTGGATATTGTTATTCACAAGGAATAGGAATTGAAAGAAATGAAAATAGAGCATTTGAACTATACAAAGAAGTAGCTGAAAATGGTGATCTTGATTCATTATATAATCTTGAGTACTGTTATTCACAAGAAATAGGAACCAGAAAAAATGAAATCAAAGCATTTGAATTATATAAAGAAGCAGCTGAAAAAGGTGATATTGATTCAACTTTTAATCTTGGAATTTGTTATGAGGATGGGACAGGAACTGAAAAAAATGAAATCAAAGCATTTGAATTATATAAAGAAGCAGCTGAAAAAGGTGATCTTGATTCAATGTATCAACTTGGATATTGTTATCGATATGGTGTAGGAATTGAAATAAATGTAATTAAATCATTTGAATATTATAATAAAGCAGCAGAAAGAATGTCATTGATTCAATGATAATTTTGGATTACATTATTGAACTGAGATAAAGGAATCAAAGAAATTATATAATCAAGATTTATTTAGTGAAATTTCAATTGTCTTATACTTTATCCATGTGCTTCAATAATATCTACTCTTGTTAACTAAATACACTTATTATAAAGAAGCAAAATATTTACACTTTTTTATTATTTATCGTTTATTTTAATAAAGTCTATTTACTGTATTTTACAATTATCTACTATTTTTGATTCTTTTTTATAAAATTATTTTTCTTTTAAATATTTTTAACCAAAACCTTGAATGCAATTTTTTATAAATAAAATTTTAGTGTATAAATAATAATTTAAAATCAACTTTAGGCCACACAATTTTTCGGTTCACTTCACGGCCGGGTCACTTTTTCAAATTTCAATAAAAAAAAGTTTATATATAAAAAGTTTATCACGTGATCAATACGTAATTTTATTGGCGGAGTAAGTTTATCACGTGGTTAAAATAAATTCTTTTAATTACTCTCCCCTTTAAAAGTCAACCAATCAGATGTCACGATTTTATATATGATAAACTTTTTTTATTAATAAACAATAAACCCCGGGTTCCCGGGTCAATTTTAAATTTCAATGTTACGTGAACCGAAAAATTGAATTTGTGGCCTTATAGCTAAATAAATTAATACACGTGTCTATATAAATACTTTATCAATTATTTCTAAAAAAAAAAAAATCAATCAACATTTAACATTTAAATTTATCTCTGAAAGTGATAGTATTTTTTGGCGATCTAAATTATTTTTATAAAGCCGTTTAATGTCTATCCAGCATGGTGTTCCACTTGAGCTACGATCCCATTTTTGAAAATTTCCTTCAATTTTCAAGATTTTGTTACTTTCGGTACCTTCGGTTTAAACAAGCACAGTATACCATATATCCAATTCATAAATAATGCGGACATCATATAATAAATAAAATAGCAATTTAACCTCCAAAAAAAGCAATCAATAAATTAATTAATTCCGTCCGAAATTTCGCTGCGTCACAAAATTTTAATTTATCTGCGCCACATATTGATTAACGTAAATTTCTTTGAGCATTTAATGTATTTTTTATGTAAAATTGTAATAACAAAAATAATAATAATAAAAATAAAATGAATAAATAAAAAATAAGTTTCGTTGATAAAGATGCACCAAATTATGTTTTGTTGTTTAATTATATCATAAATATCATAAATTTTACATTTTTCGATTACCGTTACATTGATTTATTTAAATTTTTTCATAAAAAAAAAAAAAAGTTTAAATAATAAAACTCTAACCCATAAAATGTTAACAAGATTTTTTCTAAACAATTAATAAAGAGCACCATAATTCATATTTGGAATTGGTATATCAAGCATGGTCTTATCTATTATGTTATGTATTACTATATTTCAGTACTAATGAAAATTCTGATTATTCAAAATTAAATACAAATGTGTCAAGGCATTATCGAAAAATTTAAATGATCCATTTATTAAATGTAAAATAAAGTTAGGATTAAGAATATAATATACTGTAAGTATTAAGAATAACATGCATAACTTCTAACATTGTTAGATGACATATAGTATTACAGATATTACAATAAAAAATCTGTCGTTTATTAAGGGCGTAATTTATAGATATATAAAATAGCTTGTATGCAATAATTATTAATCAGGAGCATCAGGAGTCGATTAAATGATTTTGTAATAACTATTATTTATTGAAACAATCAACGTGGAAACAAAATCTATGAATTAAGTTAAAACTTCGATGATGATTCATATTATTTAGAGGTAAAAATATTTCATTTTCTTTACGTATTTAAAGGCCAATCTTTGACAATTCAATTTTGCTCAGGAGATTTGAAATTAGAAATTATACATATCAGCATTAAGAATTAAAAGGGTTAAAAAATACAAAAAATTATAATAAACGATTCTGGAGTAATGATGATGATGATAATGCCCTTTTAATTGTCCAGAGCGAAGCGCAATTGTGATCTACAACGGTTTCCATTTCCTAGTAATAGAAAATGTAAATTAAACCTGATAGAGTATTAACTGACAATACTACATAATAGAGATTGAATTGGAAATCTACATGTATTCTTTAATGTATTTGATACAGAAATAATTAATTAGATTTATCAGTTAAATGTTTCGACATATGATTAATGAATTAATAATACTGTTTGTTTATTTTTATTTTTATTTAATTGATAATCCTAAAATTCAAAAAAAATTGTATGGATCCGAAATATATAGCTGGTACGCATTTTTTTCAGGGCCGGTATTATGATAATTTTGGTCAATATCCAAAAAAGGTAATAGCTTCTACCTGGAATTATCTGAAAAGGAAATCTTTACATTATTCTTTTAGCACGTGCCGATCTTTTTGCCAAAAAAGTCAATGAGATATTTTACAAAATTATTTTTGGATGGGATCTTACCAAATAAAAACTTTGTTACAAGTAATTACAATGATTTTCTATAAGAAAGTTCTAAATTTGTTACAAATTTCCTTTATTCTTTCATAATATTTCGTGTCACATTATCAATCAAATTCTTTGAGAATTTTCTAAACTTCTAGTTTTCATCAAAAAGTTCCACGGAATTTCTTTTTATTCGAAGTAACAAATTATAAATATACCGTTACATGATTTCATATTATCAAAATTTCGACCTTAAAAAATAAAAAAATATGAAACTTATAAATATAAATAATGACTTATTTGATCCAACACCAAGATTAAAATCTAGCCCTGTACCTGCAATTTTTATTCCTCTTAAGAATAACGAAGAAAAATGTAATTATTGTAAAAATAAATATTCCGTGACGCTTGAATTCAAACAAAAATATTGTAAAAATTGTTTTCTTCGATATATTAAATGTAATAATATAGACTTGGATGTATGTATAAATACAAATAAAACTAATAAATGTATTAAACATGATGTAATTAGTACAAAAAACATTCAAGAATGGTGTAAATATTGCTCTGAAGTTTTGTATTTTAGACAAATAGTTCCAAATGATTTATTATTCAATATTAATAGAAAAACAAATTGTAACTTATGTGGAAAATTGATTAAACAGAAAAATTCAATATTAAACTATATATGTCCAGATTGTTATCTATTTTCTTATGAACTGGTAGAATCAAATTCGATTATCAAATCATCCCAGAATTTTTTGAATATTTCGATTATTCATTTACCATGGTGGGATAGTTATGATAACTGTAGAATTTGTTGTCAAGAATTAAAATATTTAACAGATTGTCAAAAAATTTGTTTATATTGTCATATAACTTATAATGGATGTAGATATTGTTTAACTACAAATCTCATTTTTACAAATATAGATCAATCTCAATGTAGGAAATGTAAAAGAATATCATTTATTACTATTGATATTACAAATATCAATGAAAACACTAATGTATTTTTTAATTATTTTGATAAGTCTAGTAAAATTTCTTATCCTTTAAATATTTATGAATTTATTAGAAAAGAAAGGGTGAGATGGGTTCCATATTCTCAAATTAAAAATTTAGAAAAAATAGCAGAAGGAGGATTTGGTACTGTTTATAAAGCAATATGGAATAATGAACCCGTTGCTGTAAAAAGATTTTCCAATTCACAGAATATTAGTAAATATTTTTTAAATGAGGTAAATAAATGTAATGTAGACTGATTTGACTTGATTTAATGTTTCTAATTATTTTATCCATATTTAGTTAAAATCACTTTACCATACTTCAAACTTTTTCGTTATTGATTGTCGTGGCATTACACAAGATCCTGTAACAGAAGATTATATGATAATAATGACATATGCAAATGGTGGAAATTTACATGACTATTTGCAAAAAAACTTCGTTAATATTACATGGCACAACAAAGTAGTTATTTTATGGGATATTTCAAATGGGTATTTATGTTTTCAATATTAATTTATTATTACTTATTTATGTTTATAGTTCGTTAATTACCATTTCCTACTATAGACTTAAAGCTATTCATGAAAATAATTTTATACATCGAGATTTTCATAGTGGAAATATATTATTGTCCATAGGACAGGATTGGAAAATTGGGGACTTAGGATTATCACAACCTGCAGAAAATACATCATTAAATAATGAAATATATGGAGTAATACCTTATATTGCACCAGAAATATTTAAAGGGGGTAAATTTTCAAAAGAATCTGATATATACAGTTTGGGTATGATTATGTGGGAACTTACAACGGGTTGTAAACCTTTTGCTGATGTTGAACATAACATTAATCTTATTTATGAAATTATTGATGGAAAACGACCTGAAATTACAAATGATACTCCTGAATGGTTTGCTAATTTAATGAAACAATGTTGGAATTCTGTTCCTTCAAAAAGACCTACTATTTATGAATTTCGGGTTACTATTGGTGAATGTTATAATTTTACTAAAGAATTTCCATTTCAGTTTAATAAATTTACGGAAATGTTTGTACAGGCTGAAAAAAAAAGATTAGAATTAATACAATCAAAGAAACTTGGTCCCGAATTTAGTCAAAAATCTCACCCAAAAGCGATTTTTACAAGTAGAGCATTAAGTTCTTTGATATCTAAATCTTTAACTATAAATTCATCCACAATAATACGCAATATGAAACAAGGTACTATTACGTTGTATTACTTAAAGAATCAACCCATTTTTATTTAATTATTTTCGATGGCAGTCCATAATATAATACTTTATTTTAGAATATATTACAAAAGAAAATGATTTTGATATAAATACTACACAAAGGTAATGTAAAATTATCAAAAATAATTTAGGTTATCTTCATCAAACATTCAATTGAATAATCAACATTCAAACGCAATTTATACTACTAGTAAACTATTAATTAGCAAACCGATCTCAACTGTAAATTCCTCAAGGAAGCGTAACATTGAAGAATTAAAAATTGAAACTCAAAATATTGGTAAGTGAACTTGTATTATTTATTAAATTGCTTATTTTATCATAAATAACTTTTTTAATTAAAATAGGAAAACGCATCAAAATCGATAATTGAAATTTATTTAATTTATAATTCATATTAATCTTGATTTTTAAACTTTACGATATCCTTCTTCTAAACTTTTACAATTAATAAATATATTGGAATCAAATTAAATAATGTCATTACTTAATGCCATGTATGAAATAACCCTCGGTACTCCTTACGTCGAGTCACGTCCAATGGTCCGAGTACTTATAATTTATATAACCAATTGGAAATAGCCCGAACTCGTCTTGAGCTTAACTCGAATAATTGAATGAACCGAATGATCGTGTGACTCATTTGATCATACGAATCACGTGACATTAAAATTATTCAATAAAATTTCCGCATGAAATCCAAATTAAAAAATACTTTATTTTCTATAACGATATGAATACTATTGAATAAATAAATAAATAATATAAAAATATCACAATAAAATGAAGAAAAAAAACTGGTAAAAAAAAAAAATTATGTAAAACAAATCGAAATTTGAAAAAAAAAAAAAAAAAATATTATTGTTTTTTAAGTTTTGCGATTTTCGTTTGAAATTCGTCGACTTTATCATGATAGGTTTTAAATTGATATAAAATGATTGGAATTTCTGAGTCGGTCAACTTAACATCATCTACATAATTTTGTACCCCGTTCAAGAATTCATTATGTTCATCAATAATTTTCTTGAGTATTCGTATATTGAGAAATTTATGTATCGTTATAGCACCAAGTACTCCACCAGAAATAGAACCAACAATTTTCTGAAATATAAAATTGTTTATTTATTTAAATAAATTATTCGAATTTCATGTGTCAAGTTGTTACTATACATACCTGCACCAAACTGTTTGGATCAAGATTTGCAGTCGCAACAATGGAACATAAAGTGCTGGAGAAAAGAAATTTAAAAGAAATTGGTCAATCAATTTTGAATATATATAAATAAATAATCAAATACAGTGAACAACCTACCAAATTGCACTTCCGGTGACTTTAAACATTTCATTATCTTTCTTATTATTTATTTCTTTTAATTGAGCTTTTAATGAATCATTTATTTCCTTCAAAAATGGTACAAAATTTTCTCTGTGACCTTGGAGAATCCCGATGTTGACTAATTTATAATGTTAATATTGTTTAAACAAAAATATTTTTATTTTTGTTGAAAAACCAAAGAATTTTTTTTTTTACCAATAAAATCTTCTGTTTGCTTTTCCTCCAAATTCATGTAGATTTTATCCAAAATTTCACGTAATTGACTATTATGTTTCTTAAACATATCTACTTGGTCATTAGTCACAATATTATATTCGACTTGTGCATAGTTTTTTTCCAAATAGTAAAAAGTACATAAAAAAGCCAATAGAGACACTGCGATCGGCCAATATTTAGAATAATGTTTCTTAAAAAAGAAACAATTTGAAATTAGTTGATAAAATGGTAACTCATACAAAAGAAATTTGTTTATCATACCGGTGATATCGAATACTTTTTGTAATTTATTAAATTGTTGAGTATCTTAGTAAGTCCACGAACCCAATTTTTATCTTTTTCATCTTTGTCATGCGCACGAAATAAAATATTAGGATTACCATTTATATCAATTTCATGATATTCTATACCAAAAATAAATTGCAACGTATCAAGAATTATTAAAGGTATATTGCTCGCATATTCTGCCAAGCATTTCAACGTATCATTGAGAATCGTGATAAAAGATGTTGCTACCAGTTTTGTACATATAGGTTGTCCTTTTCTGAATAAATAAAATTGTCTATTTCAGGGACTTTAAGAAATGAGGAATACTAATGACAGTTATTTATGTTAATTATTAATAGTTATTTTTTTCTCAGAGAGATAAATAAACTTCTTGGAATATGTGAAATTGACCATCAAATAAGACAAAAAAATCCATTTTATCATCCATTGCGAGCAAAAAGAAAAAAAGAAAATTAGGTTGAAAAAAAAAAGTACGATAATTATTATTATTATTATTATTTTTAAAAACCATTTACTGATATTTTCAGAATTTTTGTTTCCCGTTTTTGTTATTGTTGTTATTGTTGCACGTTGCACGGTTACATCAATTTCGTCAAACCAAATTTATTTAGGAAATTTTAAAATCAAAATAAAAAAAAAAGAGTAATAATTTTATTATGATAATGACATTATAGATAAATTATCGAATTAATAAAATTATTTTCTATGAAATTATCGAATTAACTAACTAATATAATTATGAAGTTATAAATAAATTATTGTTTATAGTTAGGGAAACAGGACCGTTAGAATGTCCGAAGCGTTACATAATACTTTAATAGAGTCTATAAATTATTAATTTGATTACCAGTATTTGAAATAGTTAAATTTTACTAATCTGAACCAAAACTCAAAAATTATTCGAATAAATTAAATTTGTTTTGGTAAATAGATCTGATAGTTTAAGTTTATACAAATATTAGTGATGATCAAATGCAAAGAAGATCCAGGCCGATCTCCATCAACAAATACAGTATATCGTTTGATTCATTGGGTTTAATTATTACGCCAATGCATGACATTATACAGTACTAGTATCAATTGGGTGATATCTTATACGGTGAATCCGTTGTTGCACAAATCAAAAACAACACTGGTTGATGGGCCGATGGTCTAACTTAAGCGATGCCAATGGTCGATGGGAAGGTCCGGTCCAATTCAAATAATTTCAGCAGATTCATGAATGTACATATAAAAATTTATAATTACATCATCGAAATAGATTGTGAATCTTTAGGAACAGATGTGCTATTAACACCATACAAAAAAAAAAAAAATTTTTTTGCGTATACTTGTTATTTTTTAAATCGTCTTTAAAATACAATATTTTTGTAATTAATTGAATTTTAATTTTATATTTATGCTTAAAAAATGGCTTAAAGCAAGTTTCATTTCGTTTTATTCGATCTGAAAATAATAATACCAGAAATACCAGAATACAGGGTTAGAATTTAGAAGTCTGGATTAAATATCTGATTAAAATAATTACAAAATTTTCAAAATTCGTGATTTGTGGAATGTAATAATTGATAATTATAGACTTCGAACGATTTACTGTATAACCATGAACATACTGCGCCTAATAAAATTCCTATTTGTTACTAAAATGAATTATATAGAAAAATTTTCTATTGTCCAATGTATTATATTAATAAATAATACTATTCGTTTTTTCACATAGTAGTTAATCATCATGACGAATTTATGAAATACCTCAAAATTTGTCCGTCATGTCAAAATAAATATTTGACAGTCTTTTAGTCACCAAATTTCTATTTAAGTCCCAAATTTATTAGTGAACAGTAAAAAAATGAGCTCTAAAAAATTTTTTGTGCCCAAATACCCCAAATCTTGCGCCCAACCAATTTTTCCAGTGTTAAAGGTGCGTCATTATTTGACATTTTTAGGAAAAAAGCTTAATGTTTCTATAAGTCAATTTTAATTCCCGAGGCGCAGCAGGGTTTTTGCCAAATTTCATAAATCCGCCGCAATGTATTGTTATGAACACGTCAACACGGAAAATACAAATTTCATATAAACAAATACCGTACTCATGTATAATTACTACGAATATTTGGGCTAAGTTCGATCTTTTTTTATATACAGTATATACTGATACTCACGTATATATTTATTTATAAGTTTTGATTACTTTTCGATTTTTCATATAAAATGTCATACGACAGTTAATTGATGAAATCTTAAAGGTCAAAATTATATCAAATATTACAAAACATTATAAATGGAAAGAAAATTTTATTAAAACAATTATTGTTTATATTTAAGTTACTGTACATAAATCTACGGTTAAAATTATATATTACATATGCTTACTATATCTTATTATATATCAAATATGATATACAGACAAATCATCAATAAAATCAATTAATTTATCTCTCTCTTATTAAAGCTAGAACTATTAGGCATTCTCAAGCCCTTGCTCGATTATATAATGTGTAATATAAAGAACTTCGGCTAGAGTGAATTTCGTTAGCCATCGGAAACTGCATTAGAAGTAGATTTCAGTACTATGATCACGATCACGTATCTGTATAATTCTAATTTTCGTGTAAAATTTTCATTATAAGCTTCAAAAAAAAAAAAAAAAAAAAAAAAAAAAAAACTTTAGTAATAATAATAGTTAATGTATTAAATCAATTTCTTAAACACTTTCGTAACTATCTCTTTTCTATTATGATGAATTAAATAAATTAGTATCGGTTTGAAATCTATGAATGCTTGCTCTCAGCCAGAAAGAGTTAACCTACAACTGTTTTCCTGAACACCACGTAGCTAGAAGTGGCATTGTGGCAAGCTTTGTTCAGGGTTACCTGTTGCAATCAGTTTATAAATAATAAAATACCATATTTTGCGAGCCACAGCAGTACCCCGTATATGGTGCCGGAAGTCTATACTCGACAATAAAAATGTAGCACCTAAAAATCTTTCAACTCCTTAAAAAAAATACAATTTAGAAAAAATAATGGTACTTTATTCTTTGAGGTAAGCTCTATCAAATTACTGGTCAGATTTTTAAAAGAAGATCTATGTAAAAGGTTATAAGCATTTTGAAATTGCATATGATCGGGCCAAACTTGAAACAAAATATGTTGGCCAGAACTTATGATAATTTGGGCCGACTCAATGCATTGTGATAACGCCAGCCCGAATTATCATAATATGAAATATAATTTTTTTAAAAAAAAAAATTTTTTTATCAATGTATGACTTTTATGAAATGTTAATTGCGATTTTATTGCTGAAATCCACTTTTTCTTATGTTTTATCTTGTTTGTAATAAAAAATTTTCAAAAACTGCATTTTATTAGTACTTTACACAAAACCTAATACGTTAATGATTTATATTTTTTAAAAAACGTATGTTGTGTTTAAACGTTATAATTTTGTTTTATTAATTATAATGCAAAAAAAAATATTACATTAAGCATTAAATGAAGAGGAAAACAAATAAAAAAAATATCTAATCACATATCATTTTTCTAAAATTGCGTTTTACAATGTTTCCATCACAAGGATTTATATTTAAAAGTTCTACTGTATTCCATTATTTCATTACAATTCTGTATTCTGTAGTCTATGCTGCAATTTAACAAAATTTATTAAATAACATTATTAACTACTTTTTATTTTACCACGTACCGGCCCGGTCCAGTACATTTTGGTTCTGTCTGCTTATAAATAGTAATATATATCGATAATATATATTATTTATTCTCCCAGTTTTTATTCTAAATTAGAGATTAAACTAGTTTTGAATATCAGATTTATATTTTAAATTTAGAATCCAATAATTATAGCTGATTAATCGGTTTGAGCTGTATTTAATATAACTTAATGTTCCGGATAATGTTAAACCGTTTAGTAAAAACCCAGCTATGCTCTCTATTTCAAACTTATAGTATAAGCTTCATTTATTTCAGTTCCTATTCATATAATCTTAGATTTCTCTGCTGCTTTGTTATAATATTCAAATGATTTAAGTACATTTGTTTCAGTTCCTATTCCATATCGATAACAAATTCCAAGACTATATATTGATTCAATATGGCCTTTTTCGGCTGCTTCTTTATATAATTCAAATGTTTTAATTTCATTTTTTTCAGTTCCTATTCCAAAAACATAACAATATCCAAGATTATACATTGAGTCAAGATCACCTTTTTCAGCTGCTTTTTTATATAATTCAAATGCATTGATTTCATTTTTTTCAGTTCCTATTCCTTGTAAGTAACAAATTGCAAGATTAAAAACTGAGTCAATATGACCTTTTTCAGCTGCTTCTCTATATGATTCAAATGCTTTGATTTCATTTTTTTCAGTTCCTATTCCATATTTATAACAAATTCCAAGTTCATATATTGAATCAATATCACCCCTTTCAGCTGCTTCTTTATATAATTCAAATGCTTTGATTTCATTTTTTTCAGTGCCTGTTCCTTCATTATAACAAATTGCAAGATTATAAATAGAGTTAAGGTGACCTTCTTCAGCTGCTACTTTATATGATTCAAATGCTTTGATTCCATTTTTTTCAGTTCCTATTCCTTGTTTATAACAATATCCAAGATTACACATTGATTTAATATAACCTTTTTCAGCTGCTTCTTTATTTAATTCAAATGCTTTAATTCCATTTTTTTCAGTTCCTATGCCATATAGATAACAACATCCAAGATTAAAAATTGAACCGGTGTGGCCTTTTTCAGCTGCTTCTTTATATAATTCAAATGCTTTGATTTCATTTTTTATAGTTCCTATTCCATTTTTATAACAAATTGCAAGATTATAAATTGAGTTAATATGCCCTTCTTCAGCTGCTTCCTTATATATTTCAAATGCTTTGATTTCATTTTTTTCAATTCCTATTCCATCTTTATAACAACATCCAAGTTTATACATCGAATCAAGATCACCTTTTTCAGTTACTTCCTTATATAATGATTCAAATGCTTTGAATTCATTTTTTTCAGTTTCCATTCCATCTTTATAACAACAAAATGCAAGATTATAAATTGAGCTATTATGGCATTTTTCAGCTGCTTCTTTATATAATTCAAGTGCTTTAATTTCATTTTTTTCAATTCCAATTTCATCTTCATAACAACATTCAAGTTTATACATAGAATTAAGATCACCTTTTTCAGCTGCTTCTTTATATAATAATTCAAATGTTGCAATTTCGTTCCCCATTCCATAATCATAATATTCAAGATCATTCATTGAATTGATATCATCTTTGTCTTCAGTTTTTATTTCAAGTTGATGATTACAGTATTCAGGATTATATGTTATATCATTTAAATTTTGTGATTGACTCATTTGTATTTTTATTTCTTCTCCATTTGGTAATTTAAAGGATGGTCGAAGATGGTTAAAAAATTGAATGACAAATGGGTTATCAATAA